GGCCATGGGGGTTCAAAATTCTCTTTGATTGTAGATAAACTATAAATCCCCATTTTTAGCTCTGTGTGTGGATCATTAATTACAACAGAGGTAGTAAATCCATAATGAGTTATAGTCTGAACCATAATAATAATAATAATAATAATAATAATAATAACAACAACAACAACAACAATAACAACAATAATATTAATAATAATAACAATAACAGTAATAATAATAATAATAATAACCTCTCCGAACGCATCTCCACCTATGAACCGACTAGGACATTAAGATCGTCTGGGGAGGCCCTGCTCTCGATCCCGCCCGCATCGCAGGCGCGGTTGGCGGGGACGAGGGACAGGGCCTTCTCGGTGGTGGCCCCTCGGCTGTGGAACGCCCTACCTGTGGACATCAGACAGGCCCCTTCATTGCTGGCATTCCGGAGGAAGGTCAAGACTTGGCTTTACGAACAAGCGTTTGGCTAAATAGTGCAATGAATACACGAAGATGGTACAACTGAACATAGGATTTGGTAAAGGATTATGATTACGGATTCTGATTCTGATTTGTTTGCTGAGGCTTATGATAATGATTTTGTTTTGGTGTAATTTGTATAATGTGCTTTTAATTGTCTTTTTGATATTGTTGTGATGATCTTTACTATGTAAACCGCCTTGAGTTGCCATTTCGGCTGAAAAAGGCGGTGTAGAAGTAAAGCAAATAAATAAATAATAAATAAATTAATAATAATAATAATAATAATAGTGACAACGACAACAACAGCAACAATCACCTGGGCCATCCCCGTCATTAGATACACTGCTGGAATTGTGAACTGAACACAAGCAGAGCTGGATGATCTGGACAGAAAAACAAGAAAACTGATGACAATCCACTATTCATGACACCCGCGTAGTGATGTCAACAGACTTGACCTGCCCAGAAAATCAGGAGGCAGAGAGAAGAGGGCTTCTGCAAGGGAAACAAATGGTAGAAGAAGAGAAACATGCCCTGGCAGATGATGGGAAAGGCAGTCAAGAACCAACATTGAGGGAAGTCAATAGTAGTAAACTGCTTAAAGTGCAAAAGACAAAGAGTGAATACCGTAAAAACACAATCCAGAGCAGAAGAGAAAACTAGCAAAAGAAGGCTCTCCATGGACAGTTCCTGGGAAAAATTGAGAGCCAAATTGACAAAGAAAAAACATGGATGTGGCTCACAAATGGGACTCTGAAAAAGGAGACGAAGGAGGGCCTGATTCTGGCAGCCCAAGAACAAGCCATTCGAACCAAGGCCATCAAAGCCAGAATTGAAAAGTCAAAGACAGATCCCAAGTGTAGACTCTGCAAGGAAGCAGATGAAACAATAGATCCCATCCTCAGCTGCTGCAAGAAGACTGCAGACAGACTACAAGCAGAGGCACAACACCGTTGCTCAGATGATTCATTGGAACTTGTGCCACAAATACCATCTGCCTGTGACAAAGAACTGGTGGGATCACAAGCCGGAAAAAGTTACAGAGAATGAACATGTCAAACTCCTCTGGGACTTCTGGATTCAGGCTGACAGAGTTTTGGAGCATAATACACAATCATGTTAAAAAACAAAGTTTGGATCGTCGATGTTGCAATAATGGGTGACAGCAGGATTGAAGAGAAACAACTGGAAAAGCTGTCACAATATGAAGGTTTAAAGATCGAACTGCAAAGACTCTGGCACAAGCCAGTCAAGGGGGTCCCAGTGGTGATCGGCACACTGGGTGCAGTTCCTAAAGACCTTGGCCTGCACTTAAACACAACCTGTCAGCTGCAAAAGGCCCCCTTACTGGGATCTGCACACATTCACTGATACATCACACAGTCCTAGACACTTGGGAAGGGTCCGACATGTGATCCAATGGAACAGCCAGCAGAGTGACCTTGTTTACTGTGGACTCATCTTGTTGTGTTTGAAATAATAATAATAATAATTAATAATAATAATAATAATAATAAATATACGCTGATACATCACACAGTCCTAGACACTTGGGAAGTGTCCAACGTGTGATCCAATACAACAAGCAGCAGAGTGACCTTGTTTACTGTGGACTCATCTTGTTGTGTTTCAAATAATAATAATAATAATAATAATAATAATAATAATAATAATAATAATAATAAACACTTGCGAAGTGTCCGACGTGTGATCCAATACAACAGCCAGCAGAGTGATCTTGCTGTGGACTCATCTTGTTGTGTTTCAAATAATAATAATAATAATAATAATAATAATAATAATAATAATAATAATAATACGCCGATACATCACACAGCTCTAGACACTTGGGACGTGTCCAATGTGTGATCCAATACAACAGCCAGCAGAGTGACCTTGTCTGCTGTGGACTCATCTTGTGGTGCTCCAAATAATAATAATAATAATAATAATAATAATAATAATAATAATAATAATAATAAATTTATGTGCGTATATCACACATAAAATCATAGAATCATAGAATCAAAGAGTTGTAAGAGACCTCATGGGCCATCCAGTCCAACCCCATTCTGCCAAGAAGCAGGAATATTGCATTGAAATCACCCCTGGGGCAGAGAGTTCCACTGCTGAACGGCTCTCACAGTCAGGAAGTTCTTCCTCATGTTCAGATGAAATCTCCTCTCTTGTAGTTTGAAGCCATTGTTCCGCGTCCTAGTCTCCAGGGAAGCAGAAAACAAGCTTGCTCCCTCCTCCCTGTGGCTTCCTCTCACATATTTATACATGGCTTTCATCATATCTCCTCTCAGCCTTCTCTTCTTCAGGCTAAACATGCCCAGCTCCTTAAGCCGCTCCTCATAGGGCTTGTTCTCCAGACCCTTGATCATTTTAACCGCCCTCCTCTGGACACATTCCAGCTTGTCAATATCTCGTCAACAGTCCCAGACACTTGGGAATTGTCCAACGTGTGATCCAATACAACAGCCAGCTTGAGTGACCTTGTTTGCTGTGGACTCATCTTGTTGTGTTTCAATTAATAATAAATAATAACAATATTTATTGGAAAAATTAGGAAAAATGTGCTGCAGGATGGCCCGCAAAAATAAGGTTTTTGCATTTTAATAAACTTTTCTCATGTTTCTATGGCAGAACCAATTAGGAAATGACACTCATAACCCAGGAACAAACATTATGTTATATAGTGATAGAAGGGAATCAGGCTTGGTGTTTTGGATACTGAAGACACCGGCCCCAGGGCATTGGCAAGTAAGGGATTAAAGGAAAATGTGAAGGGGGAAGAAGGCAAAGGATAATCCAACACATCAGCACTTGTTTCCCACACAATATGGAAGCCACTTCTGGCTAAGCGAGGCAGAAGGAGCCATCGCCACGTCCCACCGGCTGGATCCCCGTGACCCTCCCAAAGATCACAGGCGGCGCAAAGCATGGGCAAACATAATAAAAAGGAACATCTAAGAGCAGAAGTGAAGCATAAAGCTTGAATAATTCAGCGCCAGCGTGGGCTACAAAGAAAGCAACACTCTCGTCCCTCTCTTTTCAACCAAAACAGTGCCTTTGCTTTTTCTAGGGCTGTTTCCACAGAGCAGCCTATCTCAACCTGGGGGTCGGGACCCCTGAGGGGGTCGCGAGGGGGTGTCAGAGGGGTCGCCAAAGACCATCAGGAAACACAGTATTTTCTGTTATTCATGAGGGTTCTGTCTGGGAAGTTTGGCCCAATTCTATTGTTGGTCGGGTTCAGAATGCTCTTTGATTGTAGGTGTAAATCCCAGCAACTACAACTCCCAAATGTCAATGTCTATTTTCTCCAAACTCCACCAATGTTCACATTTGGGTATATGGAGTATTCGTGCCGAGTTTGGTCCAGATCTATAGTTGTTTGAGTCCAGAGTGCTCTCTGGATGTAGGCGAACTACAACTCCAAAACTCAAGGTCAATGCCCACCAAGCCCTTCCAGTATTTTCTGTTAGTCATGGGAGTTCTGTGTGGGAAGTTTGGTTCAATTCCATCATTGGTGGAGTTCACAATGCCATTTCATTGTAGGTGAACTATAAATGCCAGCAACTACAACTCCCAAATGACAAAATCAATCCCCCCACCTAACCCCACCAGTGTTTAATTTGGACATATCAGGTATTTGTGCCAAATTTGGTCCAGGGAATTAAAACACATTCTGCATATCAGATATTTACATTACGATTCATAACAGTAGCAAAATTACAATTACGAAGTAGCAACAAAAATAATGTTATGGTTGAGGGTCACCATCACATATGAGGAACTGTACTAAAGGGTTGCGGCATTAGGAAGGTTGAGAAACACTGCCATAGAGCAATTATTATTCTGTATAATAGGCAAGCTGTGGAAGGAGGATAGAAGTTGGTGGGGGTGAGAAAGGCCTAACCCAGCACATGCTTGAAATTAAGGTTGCATCTACACTGTCAGATTAACACAGTTTGACATCACTTTAACTGTCATGGCTGAATGCTATGGGATCCTGGGCAGTGTATTCCAGCAGGGAAGGCTGAAATTATATGCTTTCTATGTATGCCCCTGTGGCGCAGTGGGTTGAACTGCTGAGCTGTTGAACTTGTTGACTGAAAGGTCGCAGGTTCGAATCCGGGGAGCGGCATGAGCTTCCACTGTCAGCCCTAGCTTCTGCCAACCTAGCAGTTCGAAAATGTACAATTGTGAGTAGATCAATAGGTACTGCTTCGGCAGGAAGGTAATGGCACTCCATGCAGTCATGGTGGCCACATGACCTTGGACATGTCTATGGACAATTCCAGCCCTTCGGCTTAGAAATAGAGATGAGCACCACCCACCAGAGTAGGACACGACTACACTTAATGTTGAGGGAAAACCTTTACCTTTACCTTATATACTGATTATCCTCTCTAAAGATTTGTTTTAGAGAGGCAGCTTCTGGTGGAAGCATACCAAAGAATTACCTGTGATGTCACTATAGTGGATGCAAACCTGGTGATGAACCTCTTTGGTTTCTTGACTCTTCCCACCAGATCCAAGAAGGTGCCACTGCCGAGATCACTCCTGAGCTCCTTCTGAGCGAAGATGAAGACAACCCTCCTGAGGAAGTGGTCTACTCCATCAGAAGACCCATCAATGGGAAGGTGGTGCTGAAGCCATCACCCAATGATACAACCCAGCGTTTCACCCAGGCCCAGATCAACAGCCGTCTTGTTGAGTTTATCCATGAAGGTTTGTAGCTGAAAGAAGGGGAACACGTATGGTAGAATGGGTGGGCAGATAATGGCAGAACTGGAGAAATCAACCATTAGTATTTATTGGTCCCATATTGTCCTATGCTAACTAATCAATAGTATTGATAGGGCATGGGCAAACTTGGGCCCTCCGGGTGTTTTGGAAATGTGAGGAGGGCCCAAGTTTGCCCATACCTGGTATAGATCAAGAGAAGTCGTAGTCCCACTGTGTTTTGTTTTGATCAGATCTCATCTAGATTCAAGTCGCTTCTGGTTGCTTCTGGTGTGAGAGAATCAGCCATCTACTAAGACATTGCCCAGGGGATGCCCAGATGTCATGCAATCCTGCGAGGAGGCTTCTCTCATGTCCTCCTGCTACAAAACAGGAGCTTTTTTGTTGAGTTCCAGGGCCAGAGAAGCAGATGGCGGAAACAGAAGAACGGCCTGCCTCAGGGGAACGTGCTTGCTCCATCCATGTTCAACATCTACACAAATGACCAGCCACTGCCAGAAGGGACAGAGAGCTTCATCTATGCTGATGATCGTGCCATTACTGCTCAAGCAGGGAGCTTTGAGATGGTTGAACAGAAGCTCTCCGAAGCTCTAGGTGCTCTTACTGCCTATTACAGGGAAAACCAGCTGATCCCTAATCCATCTAAAACACAGACATGTGCCTTTCACCTTAAGAACAGACAAGCATCCCGAGCTCTGAGGATTACCTGGGAAGGAATCCCACTGGATCATTGCAGCACACCCAAATACCTGGGAGTCACTCTGGACCGTGCTCTTACCTACAAGAAGCACTGCCTGAACATCAAGCAAAAAGTGGTGCTAGAAACAATATCATACGAAAGCTGACTGGCACAACCTGGGGATCACAACCAGACACAGTGAAGACATCTGCCCTTGCGCTATGCTACTCTGCTGCTGAGTATGCATGCCCAGTGTGGAACACATCTCACCACACTAAAACAGTGGATGTGGCTCTTAATGAGACATGCCGCATTATCATGGGGTGTCTGCGCCCTACACCACTGGAGAAATTACACTGCTTAGCCAGTATTGCACCACCTGACATCCGCCGGGAAGTAGCAGCCAATAGTGAAAGGACCAAGGCAGTGACATCTCCAGCCCATCCCTTGTTTGGGTATCAGCCAGCACGTCAACGACTTAAATCAAGACATAGTTTTCTAAGATCTACAGAGACACTCGCTGGAACACCTCAGCAAGCGAGAGTCCAAAAGTGGCAGGCTCAAACCCCATGGCTGATACCAAATGAGAGACTCCCCCCTGGGCACACAGAGGACTGGGCGACTTGGAAGGCGCTGAGTAGACTGCGCTCTGGCACCACGAGATGCTGAACCAATCTTAAGAAATGGGGCTACAAAGTGGAATCCACGACATGCGAATGTGGAGAAGAGCAAACCACAGACCACCTATTGCAATGCAGCCTGAGCCCTGCCACATGCACAATGGAGGACCTTCTTGCGGCAACACCAGAGGCACTCCAAGTGGCCAGATACTGGTCAAAGGACATTTAATCAACTACCAAGCTTGCAAACACTGTGTTTTTTATCTGTTTGTTTGTTTTTGTTTTGTTAGAAATGTAATACAATGGTCTGGTTGCCTCTGACACGATAAATAAATATCTAGATTCAAGAAGGATATGGACTAGCTAGAAGGTGTTTAGAAGGTGTCTACAGGACAACCAAATTGTTAAAGGGTTAGAAACCATGAATATCTATGAGGAGCAGCTCAGAGAGCTGAGTGTGTTTAGCTTGGGTAATAGAAGATCAAGAGGGACATGATCACCATGTTTACATATTTGAAAGGAGACCATATTGTAGATGGAGCTAGCTTGTTGTTCTGCTGCTCTGGAGAACTAGGACACAATGGAGCCATGAATTCAAATTGCAGGAAATGAAATCCCACCTGAACTCTGATCACTGTAATTTAAGAGGAGAATATGTGGACTCAGGTATGGTCACGTTCATCCAAATCTCTTCCTTAGGAGCCCTGGATGGAGGCTTCTCATTTGATCTATCGGATGGAGAGAACATGTCTCCGGGGCATTTCTTTGCTGTGAGGGCCCAAAAGAAACTGACTCTCATTCTGGAAAACAAGGAAGATCTGGCCGTCTGTCCAGGTATTTGTTTATTTTATTATTTGACTACCTTGGGGACCTGGCGCTGCCCGGGTTATTAGAGAAAGTGGGTCAAGGGGGTCCTGTATGCCAAGTTTGTTCTTTATTGGTCATTGGATGAGGGTTGCATTGTTTTCAGGAAGTGAGTGAAGGTACTGCAAGTCCCATCATTCATGGTCCACCCTCCTCCAAATGGCAGCAGGACGTAGAGTGGGTCATGGGGGCTCTGTGTGCCAAGTTTGGCCTTTATTTGTCATTGGATGAGGGTCGCAGTGGTTTCAGTAAGTGAGTGAAGGTATTGAAAGTTCCATCATCCATGGTCAACCCTCCTGCAAAGTGCAGCATGATGTAGAGTGTGTCAAGTTTGTGTGCCAAGTTTGGTCTTGATCAGTCATTGGATGAGGGTCGCAGTGGTTTCAGTAAGTGAGTGAAGGTACTGCAAATCCCATCATCCATGGTCCATCCCCCTTAGAACTGTATCAGGATGTAGAGTGAGTCATGAGAACTCTGTGTGCCAAGTTTGGGTCTGGTCTGTGATTTGTAGGGGCTACAATGTTCTGTGGGACGTGAATTGGGTGAAGGTACTGCAAATCCCATCATT